GGTTCTGGCTGGTGATGATGCAATATATCTAGTTATGCTGTGTCAATACCTGTCACCTCATTGAAATCTACTTTTCTTCTTACAAAGTTGCATTTGGATAGTGCTGTCCTGCAGGACCATAATAAGGAAACAACATGGCTAAAGCAGTGCATGGAATATCTGTGCATCAGTTACCAGTCTGCTTTGGATGGATGGATTTAGAAGTTATCTTAGTGACTAACCACTGGAAAATCCTGTGATATGGGAGCTCATGCATTTTTCTGTAGCCACAGCTGCAGTCATTTCCCTTCAGAGACACATCATTTCCCCAAGACACATCCTGTCTCAGAGGGCTCTGCTGTCTGCTGCTCCAAGCTTCTGTCCCCTTTTTCAGGAGCCAGCGTATGGGTGGAGATTTCCTTCCTAGTTTCTTCTCCTGAAAAGCTTCATCTCAAGCTCCAGCTTGAGAAATGGACTGAATCTTGACCTCTTGCATAAACAGTGTCTCTGCATGCCAAAAGGAGTCTTAGTGAGAAGCAGAGCCTCTGTCTAGACATGTTTCTTCATCATATAACTGTGATAGGTATGCCTTCCATTGCTGTGTTAACTATCGTTATCTCTTACTTAGCGATATCAGAGTTGAGCCAGGTATTCAATTACACTTATATAATTTTATGTAGTGTATTCAGTTCATCAGCAAGCAAAACAACAGCCTGATAATTCCTATAAGCTGCGTGGGTTAATAAGTACTTCTGTACAAAAATGAACTATCGATTACTAATTTTCCTGAAATGCAGAAGTGCTTCATCTGTGACTTCAGTAGATTTGGGTCCTTTCATTCAGGACAGCAGTAGGGAAATTAACAAAAAGCCACACAAAGGATGGAATTCCTTGCAGAAATGGAATTGTGATTGGTCCACAATGAAGTGGGGAAGCACCTTTGCTACAGTAAGAAGTAATGAATGCATTAGAGAATGATTAAAAGAAAAACCTGTGCCAAAGAGGCAGGTTAGGAGAATGGTACCTGTTGCAGGCAAATGTGTTAAGCATCTTTGAAGATGCTTGCTATTAACTGTGGAAATTGGTTTGGGACAAATGAAGCTGCCAGGGAAATCTGCTGTATGTCAGGCTAACAATCTAAGGTTCCTTCATTTGTTCACTTTCAAATGAAATTGGACCTGATGAATCTGAATAAGGTTGCCAAGGTGTATACTACTGCAACGCTTTTCTTCTTAGAACTACACCTTAGGTGGCAAAAGCATGCATGAGCATTCAGCATTAGCACTTACAATGCAAATACAACATAGAGAAAAAGGAAATGGGGGTAAAATTCCCTTCTAATTAACTCTGTCTTTAACTTGATGATCTCTAGTGGTGTCATCTCTAATTCAAATACAAGATTAGGAAATTGACTAAGGGAAGACTAGTAGGAAGAAATACAATCTAGATAATTTTAAATAGCTTTATTTTTTAAAATTATCTCAGGAAAACGCTGTTCTGACCTTTTAATTTACTCAGAAAAGCTTGACAATAGTGGCAGAACTGTTTTGCTTTCTTGATATCATCACAGAAGCTGGGGAAGAATGTGGTATAACACCAGCCAGCTCTCATTACTGCTAAAGGAATGTGGTGTGATTAAACCTCTATACGGAGAAAAATGGAATGTAATTCTTACATGTTGATTTGCTTTGAATGCATGCCACATGCTGAGGAATGAGTTTCCAGTGTATTCTTCAATTTTTAAAGATGCAGACGACCTCACCTCCAAAAAATTAACTATCCTTTTCTGAAAATCAGGAGCATTTGCTTGAAGACATTTGTTCTTATTTTCCAGTATCCAAAACCACCAAATCCTTTGAGAACTATCTGTGAATGCAAAGCCTTCTTTTCCTTCCTATTGGGAAATTCAAGTGTCAAAGCCCTTTTCTGTGAAGCCATAGAACAAAAGAAGTTTTTGTATTTCTACATATTTCTTCAAAAGTTTCACTAATATATTATCAACTGCTAAATTATTTTGTCCTTCCAGAGTCCTCTACAGATGCCTGAGCTCACTCCCTTTCTATATGACCCTGGAGACGGTGTCTCAGCTGCTAACTTCTGGCTGAAGAAGACTGGATGGGACTCCCTTCTGAGTCCAGCAGCAAGCTGTCATCCAAAAAGTGAGCTGTGGGGTGATGCAAGACACTCCCTTCCCTCCGGATCTGAGCTAGCTACCTCATCTTGAAAGGATTTGTGGCTCAATGATATCAGCTTAGAGTGAAATACAGATCACTTGTCAGCAGTTAATGATAATATTTACTTGCTTACCTCACAAGATCAACACTGTAAAGTGTGAAACCTCTGCTCACCCTTGAAAATGAACTACACAAAACTCAAAATTTACTGTAAACTGTTGGCTTTTACAACCTGAAGCAGGATCAGTGAGGTATCTGTTCCATTATTCTGTGAAAATTTTCAGAACTTGGGGGATAGCACTGGCACAAGAAACTGTTTGGATCATAACAGTAATGTGGAATCCTTTTGTTGGAAAAGTAGCACTTTCAATCATCAGATGCTGTCAGTATTTTTGGTATCCCGCATTCCCTGCAGTTCTTGGCTCTTTGCGAGACTTCCTGACCTCTGCTCATTGCAGATCTTGCACAGATCCTTCACTGAGCTGCTTGTCTTAAATTCCACTTGGCAATTCTACTCAGCAAAGGGGAGCAATGAATAAAAACTCTAATTTCCCTACAGAAAATTGTGGGATACCATGGGACAGAAGCATCTGTAGAACATCCAGGCTACAGACATTGAAATGCTTACCCAAAGCCAGAAAGGAAGAAAAGACTATTTTGCACCTGGTGCATTTGTCTATTCAAGTGCAACCTGATTGAGATCATTTGTACTCACATTACTCAAGGATGTAGTCCTGACCTAAATGGGGCAAGCATCATGCGTGCAGGATGCTAATGAGAGCTAAAGCCCCTCTTCTCTTACCCTATTAGATACATACATACTGAATAGAACTATCTTATGTGTCACTGATAGATAGATTTTGGATGTACCAGTAAAAACTCTAAAATAACACAGTTGCATTTTAAACATAAACAGACACATCTTCTGCGTGCGTGGCACTAATAAATATTGCAGCCAGTGCATTTTATACAGCGACACAAATGTGTGAGCTCTCAGCTGATGTTCCAACAGCTGCAACGTATTGCAGCATTTTCATTGGAAATTGAGCAGTCTGTTCAAAGGAAGGTTCTTTACCAACATTTGCTATCTCTGTATTTAACAGGCAACTTCGTAGGAAACAGACACAACCCTGTCTGAGGAAGAGGCTCGATTCCAGGACTCCTCCATTCCCAGGTGAAGTGTCACTGGAACAGCAGTGTCACTGCAACAGGAAGTACGGAAAATTTCCACCTGGAGGAATCTGGTGCTTGAGACATGCTTTGGAGCAATGGAGATGTGAGTCTGTGCGTACGGGAGGGGATCCTGTCATAGAATCATAGAATCAAAGAATGGCCTGGGTTGAAAAGGATGACAATGATCATTTAGTTTCAACCCCCCTGCTGTGTGCAGGGTCACCAAATCACCAGACCAGGCTGCCCAGACCTACATCCAGCCTGGCCTTGAATGCCTGCAGGGACTTCCCCTTTCTCATTTTAAAGGGGAAAACTTTGAGAATCATATCCTGTTTGTGAAGCCTTCAATAGGACAAAATCAATTTCTGCTCCTAGATTTGATATGATGAGGTCCAAGCCCCAAACTCAGCCAAGATGAGACAACTCTGGAAATGCTAGTTCAGTTCTGTGCTGTATGCAGCTTCAGAAATTAAATGCTGGGCTATGCAGAAGCTACATTACAAACTCTGTGAAGCACAGGTCATCTTTTCGTCCTGACTTTGGATCTTGGTACACAGGCTGGATCCTAATCTGTGACTACCCTTATAGTACTACTTAACAGGTTGGCTCAACAGGAAGAAGCCAGTGCAATGACATGACTGAGTTGCATGTAACATACAGAGTATTAGTAAGGTTCTTAGTAAGAATAGGTGGTTTATTAGCTCAGTCTTCTAAAGCAAACTTTACTGTGGCAACCTTAAAGCTTTCCTGGAAGCTTTTCCCGGCCTTCAGAGCCCCCTCTGGCATTGGTGCTGGGCCCTGCACAGCTCCTGCTGCAGTGCGGTGTTCCTCCCACGGGAGATGAGCAGGAGCTGGATAGACTGTGGAAGGAGTCACCTTTCCTTTCCTGCAGGATGGAGCTAAATTAGGCCTCACAATGGGAATGCAAGGCTTTTTTTTTTTTTTTTTTTTGTTCAGTTTTGAGCACGGCAATCCATTAACACAACCCGGCTGCTAATTTTTAGAAGCACAGATAAGCATCACATCAGTTCACAGTTCGTTGTTCCCACAGCCAGTCTGCCATGCCCCACAAAACACTGCCACAGACTGCAAGCACTCCTGCATGGCGTACCTGTTCCAGTTCAGGCTTTGGATTTATTCCTACACTATTTCTTCTCATTTGTACCTTTGTCCCCCCCCCCCCCCCCCCATTTCTTTGGCTTCCCTCCTTCCACTCCGCGGTAATTCCTCCCACCCACCCCCATCTTCCCAGGCTCGCTGCCACCTGATGCGGCCCCCGTTCGGCATCCCGCTCAGAGCAGCCCCGAGCTTGGGAAGGAGCGGGACTCGGGGTGGGCGCTCGGCACCGCGGCCTCCTCCTCCGGAGGGCAGAGCCGGGCTGCCCAGGGGAGGGGAGGCGGCCGTCCGCTGCCGCGCCGCTCCGTCCCCGGCTTTGTTGTGCTCGTCGCCCGGGCTGCGGGCTAGGGGGCGGGGAAGCGAAGGGAAGGGAAGGGAAAGGAAAGGAAGGCGGCCGCGTCTCCTCCTCCGCCTCCTCCCCGGCCCCGCTCATGGCGACGCTGGGCACATCCGGGCTTCTCCTCCTCCTCCGGCGGCCGCCGCTGCCCTGAGCGCCCAGCCCGACTCCATTAGCGCGTCCCCTCCCCCCGCCCCCCCCGTCTCCCCCCGTCTCCCTTCCCGGACCCAGAGGCAGGGGGAGCCCCGGGCAAGGCAGCGCCGGGCCCGAGCCGCGGCCGGGGACATGTCCAACCAAGGGGCTCGGAGGAACGGGCCCGTCAAGCTGCGGCTGACAGGTGAGGCTGAGCGCGGCGGCGGGGAGCCCCGGCCGGGCCTGCCGCTGCCTCCCGCCGCCGGGCGGGCACGGGGCGAGCCGGGGCGGAGGGGCGAGGAGCGGCCAGGAGCGGCGAGGAGCGGCGGGGCTCGGCGGGACGGGGCGCGGCGGGGAGGGGAAGCCCGCGGCCCCGGGGGAGCGAGTTCGTGGGGCGGCGGGGAGCCCCGGAGAGCCCAGCTGGAAGGAGGGAGCGAGCAAGCGAGCGGGAGCTCCTCCATGTGTATTTGAGGTTGAACCTGGGCTTGGAGGCGTCTCTCAGGCCTCAGGAGGAGAAGGGGGAAAATAGGAAAAGTGAACTCTTCCCTCTCCTCCCATCCTCTCCCCGCGGGCCGCTCGCCTGGGGAACAAAACGCCAGCAGGAGCTGCAGCACCGGGCACCTCAGCCCGCGTCCCGCCGCCCCCCAACGCTGCTTTTTTTTTTTCTTTTTTTCTTTTTGTTCCTTCGCCTTCTCAGCGTGAACTTGAAAGAAAGTGACACACGCTTTGTTTTGATCTCTTTGTTTGTTTCTTCAATTTTTTTTTTTCCAAGCCAACTTCCTTAGTGAAGGTTGTATACAGTTGGTTTGACATAGTACCTTACGTGGCCAGCTTGCTTTCAGAAGACCACTTGACCTCGAGTGTTGTTAAATAGCATAAAAAACGGCTCACCTGCATGCAGGGGATGAAAATAAGCTATTACCAAATACTTGAAGTGTGCTCTTTTTACATGTAAGAACCCAGGTAAATTGATTTGGAGAAGAAACACTGGAGCTCTCTTTAAAAAAATAAATAAATAAAAAATACAGAGAACTTAAGGGGACAGAGCTGTTCAAAACTGATGTAAGGCCCTCCCCCGGCAGGTAAATCATACCTTGTGTTCCCAAGTGTGAGTGCTGATGGTAAGCCATTGGAAAGCAATAGGTATTGCTTCAAATACTCTTATTTGCAGGATAGCGGATTTAACCAACTTGCAAAACAAATGTGTTTTAAAGAAACCTGAAGGAATTGGAATATTTACTTTAGGCACATCTGAAATATTTCCAGTTTGATGTCTAATAAATACAGATGTTTTCATACTTATTTTTGCAAGCATGCTATTTTTATAGAGAAAAACAATGTATGCTTTGCTTTGGAAATACCTTAGACTAAATTTATAATCTAGCTTTCATTGAGTTGTGTGAGTGCCTACATAGTACACTTAGAAATAAAATTTGTAAACTAAGTGTGGCTGGGACCGATGCCTGGAGCAGTGCTGCCATGTCTTTACAGCGTTTTGAAGCTTTCTCATCAGGTTATTGCTTTATTGATGCAGTATTTTAATGCATTTTTCCCTCTGCTGTGAGTGCTCAGACTTGCTTATCTTTGAAACGTTATGAATAGTCTGGAGCCTTTTGTAGAAGCATGGAAAATACTGTTCAGGCAGTTGTCTGCTTCACCTTTGGATTTTGTATTCTGTTTTGTTTTATTTTGATTAAGGATTAAGTGTGTCCTCTAATCCTGTCTTTGACAACATAAATATGTCATGGGGAGTGTAGTTGTGAGCAATAGGCAGTGGTTTTACGTGCTGAGGAGACGGAGTGGTTGTGCAATCGTTTCCCAAAAGAAGCAGGTACGTTCCTGAGGAATGTTTCTGAGTTTTTCATTACCTTGTTTTTTAGGAAGGGTGAATGCTGAGCACTGGATGTGAGCAGAGTTGCCTTTAGAGAGACATTTCCACATTTAGCATCTCTGTGCAGTTGCTGAGAACCAGTTCTGTTATTTGGAAGCTTACATGAAATATTGACCTATTTCTCAAGTTAGAAAGACTTGAGGTATTTCATGCTGTAGCGAACTGCCTGTTGTTTTTAATAAGGTCATTTGTTGTAGGGAAGTTTTATATGTTTAAGGAAAGCTGTTGCAAACGTTTTATTTTATTAATTGAGCTGACATGTTGTCAGTTCTTGCCTAGGAATAGCTTTAAGTGTACTTTGTGGTTTTGATTACCCTTTTTGATTGGAAAAGCAGTTTGAGAGCTCATGAATTCTAAAACTGTTTGGAATTAAAAGAATCTGTATATTCCAATGTTTTAAAAAGTTTATTTTCAAACTTGCAAATGCTATATAATCTTAATTTTCCTTGGCTTTATGATGCTAGCAGTCTTCTGTTCTGGCTTGAATATTTATAGGATTAATTCTGTAAACATTGTGTGATACTTATCTTTTCTATTCGTTATCTCTAAATTAGATACTATAGACTGAAAAAATGGATTCAAGAACTGGATTCAATTAGCAGTTTTTCAAGACATAAACATTAAAGGTTTAGATGGAAAACATTGTTTTGACTGACTGGATAAATGACAGGGTAATGTTTGATGTGAGGCCAAAAGCTGATCTGTAGCTGGTGCCCAACTTCTCAGTCGATCCTGAGGAGCCAAATAAAATATTTAACCTAGGCCTCATTTTGCAAAAAAAGGTTGATTCTTTGTTGGGACCTTAAGAAAGTTCTGAGAAATGTTTGGCATACCTTTACACTAAGTGTTTAACAGTTTATTTAGGTCTGGGTTCCATAACAGAGAAAAACCACAGCAGTGGCATACTTCTAGTAAGTTTTTATTTAGTTTGCAGTGCATCTGCGTTGAATGTTTCTTCAGAGGTTCTTCTGCTCGTAGTTGTAGCTGTTGGCTGTAAATATCACTCCAGTGATGTGTGTTGGTGCATTTTGCGCAGTCTTGAGCTAGAAAATTTCTAGTTAATTGTTAAAATATAGAATAAAAGGCCTTCTTTGATTGTAGCGTGGGTTACAATCAAACGTGTACAACAATGTGTAAGTTATTGCTTATGATTAAAATATAGGCCGTGTAATTTAAATTAGCTTGAGTCTAGAATTGCAGTGGTCTCCAAAATTTGTTAGCAGCTTGTAGTGACATTATCCAAGGAAGCTGTAATGAAAGGAAATTTCCTTCAACTCTGGGATTTTTATCATTGTCTTACCTAGATTAGTTCTGAGTGTTCCTGAATTCTGTTTAAAACTTAAAGTGCAGTCATCCAGTCATCCTCTTCCATTCTTACTGTTTTTTTCTGTGTTTTGATTTATTTATGGATTTGTAGATACGCTGTTCTCCCTTCCAATCCTACCCTGAGTGTTGAAGACTACATTGATCTTGTATTCTTCAAACCTTGCTTTCAGTTGCACAGTAAATATTTTGTCTCAACGTGTGAATTACCTGGAGCAGCAACATCTGACTGCTTCGACTTACAGCGATGGTTGTCTGAGTGAAGTCTGTAAGGCTGTCCTTATCAAACAGAAAGATATTTTTAAGTCACTTTGAAATCTTCAGAAGTGCATGGCTGCTAAAATAGGAGTTGAATAAAGGTTGATGCGTAGTTTAATTTATTTCTGGTCTTGTAACTAGTGTTTGTTGTCAGAATAATTAACAAGTGAAGATGCATTGACAGCCATGAAACGCAGTTGCACTGTACTGTACAAGGTGGTAATAAATATCCCACAGATAATATGGGAATGAGGTGGGCCGTGTTTGTTGGTAAGGAGTTGGAGGCAGGTCTGGCTTTTTCCTCTTACTGTAAGGCTTTCAGGTTCCCTGGCAGTTTGTTAATTAAGTTAATTAGAAAAGTAAAAGCATTGGATCTTTGTACATCTTTGTGGATCTTTGAAAATGGGCATCATCTCCTGCCTTTTTTGTTGAATTTATTGTATCTTGATGGATAAAAGTACCTACTGTATTCTGAAGTATCAAGGCCGTGGTTTTGTAGTTGACTGAAATGGTAATCAGACTTGTTTCTTCTGTCCTTGTAGTCGCTGGATTCATTTGGCCCTACCTGGTGTTGACTCCAGCAGCTATGTAGCTAGCTCTGTGATGAGTGCAAAGCTAATCTTAGCAAGAAAAAATGCTGTCTTGTGTTGAAGGGTTGTAGCATTAGAAACTGAAGAGAGGGCAGAACTGCTTGACCAGCAGCCTGTATTTAAATGGTCTTTAGTCAACAGTAAAACAATAGGGTTCCTTCAAGAAAGGTGTACTTGACTTAATGACAAGACTTACTGAAAACTAGTACTTAAGAAATTGGAATTGATAAATTACATGGTAGTGTGATTAAATGGCTCCAGTAATGACAAAGTCAATGGACATGTATGTAGTAAGATTGAATAGGGACTGACTGATTCTTGGCCCTCTGTGTTTTCGTAAGTGTTGAGTGTGTTTTTTTCTGTATAGAGAGATATAAATGCTATACATTTCTAAAGTGTGTGTGTGTGTTGTGTATATATATATCTGTGGATATTTCTATACATATAAATCAGTTGTGGATCACACAGATTACATAGGATTGTAATAAACAACAGAGCAGCCTCATCAACTTATTTTAATGGAGTCCGTTTATATGACCAAGTTTTATTCGTCTGGATATAAAATTTGTGTTCAGGGATATGCAGTGGTGTAAGTGGCAAGGAAAGCAGAGATCCAAATGGCTTTGGGGAAAGAAATCAGGGTACGAAAACCACCCAACACAAGCTTCCTATCAAAGGAGTAAAAAGACTCAATATTTGACTGTAGAATTAGGAAAACATTGTGTAAAAGATGTAGAGAATTTGTGCTTGTAGGTAATGTATGGGACATATGTAGGGGACAGACACGAAGCTTGCAGACAGTCCCAGAAAAATAAATCTGTCAGGGTTGGAAAATAAAACAGAAATCCTTGGGTAGAGAAACAGTGAGTAATTTTAGAACTGTACTTTTTGGTTGCATTTAAAGAGTTTCAGCTATAACATAATGTCTGTCTGCGTAGCTGAGTAACTCAATTAGCAGTGACAGATTCTTCTCTATTTTCTTTTTTGTTAATCACTAGAAATCTGACCAGGCCCCGGATGAAGATGTTGTGTCTTTGTGTCCTTAAGGTGAATAGGTTGATTCCTAAAAGCAGACAGCCTTCAGTGTTTTGTTCTGTTTTATCTCATGGCCTTTGAAGTGTCTCCTTGCTTTGCCGTCTTACT